TATTTTCCTTGTAATTTTTGATAAATTTTTGGAAATATTGATAAATTTCTTTGATATTTTACTAAATTTAACGCCAGCGAATATATTTTGCATTAATATAACGGTAATCAATATAATTTACATGATTAATTACTTTATGGCATTATATTTAACTAACAAACTTTTGTCAAACATCCATGCATTAATCCAATAATGCCAAGATTTGAGTTTTTTCGCAAAAAATAATCGTTTAAAAATTGTGTATGATTTTATTTACAAATTTGTAAACGTCAGAATTATAATTTTTAGATTTTATTTTAAAAGAAACCATAATTAGTTTTCGCTATCAACCTAAAATTACCGAAAAAAGCTTTATCTGAAATAAAAATTCTTAAAAATTTACTAATTATTGGCTTAAAGGGTCGAGCCTACAATAAAATTCTTTTATTTGTCAATGCTTTATTGAAGGCGTTTTAAGCTATTTGACGTTTATGAATATGGTTTTCCTGAATTTTGTCTAAAATTGTTTAATAAACTTAAAATAAGTTTTTATAAATACAGCCGATAGTTGTTAGTACCTATGTTATAGCGTATTTACACATACACGAAATCTAGTACATATGAGATTTCGAGCCAAATCTAGTTGATTTTGACTAGATTTCCCACACAAAACAAAATCTACTTCGTAAAGCTGCCTACACACTATGAGAAAAGTCGTTAGATTTTTATTTCAAACTGCCAAAACAAAATAAAATGAAAATTGGTATGATTATCAAAAAAATCAAATAGAAAATATATTTTGTTTTTACACTATCAGTTTTGAAATAAAATGAAACTTCAATTTGAATAAATTTAAAGAAAAAAAATAAATTTTCATTTTTTTCCATTTTTATTTGAAAGTTGTTTCTGTTTTTATACATTTCTTTGTTTAAATAAAAATAAAACTCAAATAAAAGGAAAAAATCCAATCGTTTTGAAATTTTTCAAAAAATTTAAAAAAATCATACGATTTTCAATTTTCCATCCATATTTTCAGTAAGTTTTATTATATTTTGTATCTACACTATAACATTTTTAATTTTATTTGAAAATTTTGACATGTCGTTTTACTGAATATTATGGTGTGTAGTCAGCTTAACTAGAAAACCTAGTTGTTTTTAGTAATGCAACTTTGTTTTTGCTAAAAAAAACAGAAAAACAAAAGAAACAAAAGAAACAAAGAAAATTAAAATGTCAACAAAATTTTAATAAATAGAAAAACATGGATGAAAAGTTTATTTAAAATAGAAGGTATTGATATATTTTAATATCTGTTTTTTTATTAAAATACAATTTTAATTAAATATAAATATAATATATAAATTTTATGATATATTAGCAAAAATGAAATCTTCCTAAATGTTAAAAATAGTAAGTGTAAACGGTCTAGATTTGTAAAGAGATTTTAAATGAAATCTAGTAGATTTAGTGTATGTGTAAATGGGGTATTAAACAATCTTTTTGTATTCATAATTCATTATGTTCAAGGCGAATTCAGATAAGGTAGTGGCACTTCGGCAACAACAAAATTTTCCATGTAATTTGTTTTTGAATTTGGTACGCACCAAGATATATTAAGGTAGTGTCGTCGGCGAATTTTGTGATTAAAGTGAAATTGTGTGATTAGGGTATATTTTTGTGTTTTTAATCTTTAAAAGTTAAAACATCAAAATAAATTATAAACAGATTCTAATTTATAAACAATTTTTGTTTAATTTAAATTCGCTTTGATTTATTTGTCAGCTGTTTTTGAAATTTTTCCCTTGCAGCCAATTCGCCTTTAAGTGCAGGCACAATGTCAAACTACATATAAAAAAATATAACCAATTCGCTTGGTATTCTGAATTCGCCGATGACACTACCTTATAAAATTAATATACCTTGGAGCCAAGGCGAATTCAGATAAGGTGGTGTTATTCAATCCGCTGATAATTTGTTATTGTTTACATTTTTATATCTAAAAATTTCCGTTAAACGGAGAAAAACTTCGTTAATATTTTGAGCTATTTATGTAAAAAATCTAAAAATAACAAGCATCTCGTAAACAAATATCATTTTATTTAAATAATGGCATAATTGGTATGTATACAAATATGTTATTTAGGAAAAATATTTTTTTCTATTAAATGTTAACATATTAAACAATATTGTTTTATATTTTATATTAACATTGTGTAGATAACGTGATTAAATAAAAAAAATATCTTCCGGAACACTTTATATAAAGAAACACATATGAAGAATTTAGCTGAACAGTGGCAGCTTACTTTTATATATGGCTTAATTTTGAAATCTATTAAATGTTAACAAATGAAACAATATTGTTTTATATATACACTATGTAGATAAAGTGATTAACTAAAAAAGTCTCTTCCGGAACGCTTTATATAACAAAACCAATATGAGGTATTTACCCGGCCGGCGTCTGCTACATTATGGCCAAATATTGAAAATTACTCCGCCGGAGTAGAATTATTCATTCGCAACAAAGATTCATTCATTCGTTATATATATTTTTTCGTGAATATGTACTTTTTTATGTTTATTTTTCACAAAAACTAAGTTTTACTTAACTTTAGGCACTCACTTAAATTTTGCAAATTAATCTGCCGGAATAGAATTTTTCGTTTGAAACAAACATTATTCAATTCAGAATATATTTTCTTCACAAATTATATCTTTATTTTTAATAAAATATAAAAATTTTTCATGAAATGAATTCGCCGTACTTATGGTTTTTGACATCTACGTAAACCAAATGCAAAAACAAAATACATGTAAAATGTTGTTGTTGCAGAACTGCCACCACCTTATCTGAATTCGCCTTGGATAGACTACTTTGTTATTTTCTCGCCGGCCAGAAAATCATATAAATTTTACGAGGCCATTTCTGTTTTGACATTTGTCTAGTAAACACATGCGAAATACGCGTTATTTATTAATCTGTTATTTATGGCTATAATACATGTTTATTTAGTTCAGATGTATAATTATAACATATAATTTGTAATTACTATTAGAAGTATCCGAATGACGGATATTTTGCGTCAAAATAATCATCACTATTGCACATTTTCTTATTTTTATTTATTTTCCTTGTAATTTTTGATAAATTTTTGGAAATATTGATAAATTTCTTTGATATTTTACTAAATTTAACGCCAGCGAATATATTTTGCATTAATATAACGGTAATCAATATAATTTACATGATTAATTACTTTATGGCATTATATTTAACTAACAAACTTTTGTCAAACATCCATGCATTAATCCAATAATGCCAAGATTTGAGTTTTTTCGCAAAAAATAATCGTTTAAAAATTGTGTATGATTTTATTTACAAATTTGTAAACGTCAGAATTATAATTTTTAGATTTTATTTTAAAAGAAACCATAATTAGTTTTCGCTATCAACCTAAAATTACCGAAAAAAGCTTTATCTGAAATAAAAATTCTTAAAAATTTACTAATTATTGGCTTAAAGGGTCGAGCCTACAATAAAATTCTTTTATTTGTCAATGCTTTATTGAAGGCGTTTTAAGCTATTTGACGTTTATGAATATGGTTTTCCTGAATTTTGTCTAAAATTGTTTAATAAACTTAAAATAAGTTTTTATAAATACAGCCGATAGTTGTTAGTACCTATGTTATAGCGTATTTACACATACACGAAATCTAGTACATATGAGATTTCGAGCCAAATCTAGTTGATTTTGACTAGATTTCCCACACAAAACAAAATCTACTTCGTAAAGCTGCCTACACACTATGAGAAAAGTCGTTAGATTTTTATTTCAAACTGCCAAAACAAAATAAAATGAAAATTGGTATGATTATCAAAAAAATCAAATAGAAAATATATTTTGTTTTTACACTATCAGTTTTGAAATAAAATGAAACTTCAATTTGAATAAATTTAAAGAAAAAAAATAAATTTTCATTTTTTTCCATTTTTATTTGAAAGTTGTTTCTGTTTTTATACATTTCTTTGTTTAAATAAAAATAAAACTCAAATAAAAGGAAAAAATCCAATCGTTTTGAAATTTTTCAAAAAATTTAAAAAAATCATACGATTTTCAATTTTCCATCCATATTTTCAGTAAGTTTTATTATATTTTGTATCTACACTATAACATTTTTAATTTTATTTGAAAATTTTGACATGTCGTTTTACTGAATATTATGGTGTGTAGTCAGCTTAACTAGAAAACCTAGTTGTTTTTAGTAATGCAACTTTGTTTTTGCTAAAAAAAACAGAAAAACAAAAGAAACAAAAGAAACAAAGAAAATTAAAATGTCAACAAAATTTTAATAAATAGAAAAACATGGATGAAAAGTTTATTTAAAATAGAAGGTATTGATATATTTTAATATCTGTTTTTTTATTAAAATACAATTTTAATTAAATATAAATATAATATATAAATTTTATGATATATTAGCAAAAATGAAATCTTCCTAAATGTTAAAAATAGTAAGTGTAAACGGTCTAGATTTGTAAAGAGATTTTAAATGAAATCTAGTAGATTTAGTGTATGTGTAAATGGGGTATTAAACAATCTTTTTGTATTCATAATTCATTATGTTCAAGGCGAATTCAGATAAGGTAGTGGCACTTCGGCAACAACAAAATTTTCCATGTAATTTGTTTTTGAATTTGGTACGCACCAAGATATATTAAGGTAGTGTCGTCGGCGAATTCAGAAATACGGAGCGAATTCATTTTATTTTTTATATATGGAGTTTGACAGCATGCCTACACTAAGTGCCAGCACACTGTCAAACTACATATAAAAAAAATCAAAAGTGTATTAGCAAAAAACAATCGAAAACTCGAAAATTGTAGAAAAAAGTCAAAAATGGTCGAAAATTTTAAAAAAGTGGAGAAAAAGTAAAAAAAATCGAAAAGTTGGAAAAAGTCGAAATCGACTATTTATAAAATACTTATAGTCGAAAAGTCTTTTCGTGTCAACTATAGAACCCTACTACAAAGTGTAAATATAAAAAATATTGTTTAATTTGTTAACATTTAATAGAAAAATATTATTGTTATATTAAGTTGGTACAAGCGTACCAATTATTCATTAATTACATAAGAAAAATATTCGTTTACAAAATGCTTTGTATTTTCAGAGTTTTTACATAAATTATTCAAAATACTAACGAAGTTTTTCTGTGTTTTAACGAACATTTTTATATATAAAATGTAAACAATAACAAACTCTGACATCAGTGCGTACCAGTCAAGTGAAGAAAAAATAGTCAGCTGATTGAATAGCACCACCTTATCTGAATTCGCCTTGATTATGACTAAAATTTTATTTTATAAATAGCCGTCGCTTAATTTTTTCAAACAAGCCGCCGAATTCCTCATTAGCCGCCTCCGAAAATTTTGTTTCGGCTTGTTTCTCTGACCCTCTTGTAGTGAAACAAAAAATGTTCTTTATGTAAATAATTTATTTCTGAATTTATTCTGGTTTATGTGAAATTCTTATTACTTTTTCTCCCTTTTCAGCCAAAATTTCTTCGATATTTTTTTTTCCATTTAAATCTGTGAACCAATTTAAGTTGTCTGCAATTATGTGATTATTGGAGCAGCCATCACATTTTACAATTACAACACCTTTTTCGTAAGCTATTTTGGAGATTGTTTTCATATTTCTTTTTGAACAAATTTTACAGGTATAAATAAGTTGAAGTTTTTTATTCAATTTGCCAGTAGAATCACAATCTTCGGTACTTTTTAAACTCTGTATATTTTCTGGCACGCAAACTCTCTGTGCCAAATTCCTAGCTGGAACCAACAATGTACAAAAATTGTGATGCAAAAAATGGTGTTGTATCCTTACATTTCCAATTTTTAATATTCCATTTCTTAGCAGCTTGCAGATCAAAGACATTATATTCCTTGTCAAATACCAAATTGTATATATAAATAAATGTATAAATAAATAAATACACTTTGAACAAATATTCCCAACGAATTTATTACGAAGTCTTTTTTGATTTAAGTGTAAAGATAACACCACCGAAATAGTTAATGTTGTTAATAACGGGAAAAATACCCAATTAGTGCATTAAAAACGGCATAAATCTAAACTTAAATATATTATAGGTATAACTCTCCGATTATGAAAAAATTATACCACATATAAAGCTTTCAATTCTATGACTTGTGATATATGTCTTTTGGTCAACAAATGTATAGTTTTTGGAGTTATAGACCATCAAAGTTAAATTTATATATATTCGATATCTTCTCTAATTATGAACCGATCCTGCATTTATTAACCCTTTGAGAACAAATTCCACAAAAAGTTTTTTTATATAGAGTTTTTTGATGAAAGTGCCGTTATTTCATAAAACCATCGATATAATGGTACCGATAAATATCGAGAAAATTGTAGAAAAGATTTCAAGCTTTCTTTTGATGTATAGATATGTGCTAATATCTTAATAAATGGGGATGATATTTAAGTTTAAAAATAGTAAAGAGAGACTGTGACAAAAAATTCTTAAATTATTTAAAAAAGTAAAAATTATTTGAAAAAAATCGCGCGATTTTTTCAAATATCGGTACCATTATATCGATGGTTTTATAAAATAACGGCACTTTCATCAAAAAACTCTATATAAAAAATACTTTTTGTGGAATTTGTTCTCAAAGGGTTAATAAATGCAGGATCGGTTCATAATTAGAGAAGATCGGTTCATAATTAGAGAAGATATCGAATATATATAAATTTAACTTTGATGGTCTATAACTCCAAAAACTATACATTTGTTGACCAAAAGACATATATCACAAGTCATAGAATTGAAAGCTTTATATGTGGTATAATTTTTTTCATAATCGGAGAGTTATACCTATAATATATTTAAGTTTAGATTTATGCCGTTTTTAATGCACTAATTGGGTATTTTTCCCGTTATTAACAACATTAACTATTTCGGTGGTGTTATCTTTACACTTAAATCAAAAAAGACTTCGTAATAAATTCGTTGGGAATATTTGTTCAAAGTGTATTTATTTATTTATACATTTATTTATATATACAATTTGGTATTTGACAAGGAATATAATGTCTTTGATCTGCAAGCTGCTAAGAAATGGAATATTAAAAATTGGAAATGTAAGGATACAACACCATTTTTTGCATCACAATTTTTGTACATTGTTGGTTCCAGCTAGGAATTTGGCACAGAGAGTTTGCGTGCCAGAAAATATACAGAGTTTAAAAAGTACCGAAGATTGTGATTCTACTGGCAAATTGAATAAAAAACTTCAACTTATTTATACCTGTAAAATTTGTTCAAAAAGAAATATGAAAACAATCTCCAAAATAGCTTACGAAAAAGGTGTTGTAATTGTAAAATGTGATGGCTGCTCCAATAATCACATAATTGCAGACAACTTAAATTGGTTCACAGATTTAAATGGAAAAAAAAATATCGAAGAAATTTTGGCTGAAAAGGGAGAAAAAGTAATAAGAATTTCACATAAACCAGAATAAATTCAGAAATAAATTATTTACATAAAGAACATTTTTTGTTTCACTACAAGAGGGTCAGAGAAACAAGCCGAAACAAAATTTTCGGAGGCGGCTAATGAGGAATTCGGCGGCTTGTTTGAAAAAATTAAGCGACGGCTATTTATAAAATAAAATTTTAGTCATAATCAAGGCGAATTCAGATAAGGTGGTGCTATTCAATCAGCTGACTATTTTTCTTCACTTGACTGGTACGCACTGATGTCAGAGTTTGTTATTGTTTACATTTTATATATAAAAATGTTCGTTAAAACACAGAAAAACTTCGTTAGTATTTTGAATAATTTATGTAAAAACTCTGAAAATACAAAGCATTTTGTAAACGAATATTTTTCTTATGTAATTAATGAATAATTGGTACGCTTGTACCAACTTAATATAACAATAATATTTTTCTATTAAATGTTAACAAATTAAACAATATTTTTTATATTTACACTTTGTAGTAGGGTTCTATAGTTGACACGAAAAGACTTTTCGACTATAAGTATTTTATAAATAGTCGATTTCGACTTTTTCCAACTTTTCGATTTTTTTTACTTTTTCTCCACTTTTTTAAAATTTTCGACCATTTTTGACTTTTTTCTACAATTTTCGAGTTTTCGATTGTTTTTTGCTAATACACTTTTGATTTTTTTTATATGTAGTTTGACAGTGTGCTGGCACTTAGTGTAGGCATGCTGTCAAACTCCATATATAAAAATAAAATGAATTCGCTCCGTATTTCTGAATTCGCCGACGACACTACCTTAATATATCTTGGTGCGTACCAAATTCAAAAACAAATTACATGGAAAATTTTGTTGTTGCCGAAGTGCCACTACCTTATCTGAATTCGCCTTGAACATAATGAATTATGAATACAAAAAGATTGTTTAATACCCCATTTACACATACACGAAATCTACTAGATTTCATTTAAAATCTCTTTACAAATCTAGACCGTTTACACTTACTATTTTTAACATTTAGGAAGATTTCATTTTTGCTAATATATCATAAAATTTATATATTATATTTATATTTAATTAAAATTGTATTTATTATAAAAAAAACAGATATTAAAATATATCAATACCTTCTATTTTAAATAAACTTTTCATTCATGTTTTTCTATTTATTAAAATTTTGTTGACATTTTAATTTTCTTTGTTTCTTTTGTTTTTCTGTTTTTTTTTTAGCAAAAACAAAGTTGCATTACTAAAAACAAATAGGTTTTCTAGTTAAGCTGACTACACACCATAATATTCAGTAAAACGACATGTCAAAATTTTCAAATAAAATTAAAAATGTTATAGTGTAGATACAAAATATAATAAAACTTACTGAAAATATGGATGGAAAATTGAAAATCGTATGATTTTTTTAAATTTTTTGAAAAATTTCAAAACGATTGGATTTTTTCCTTTTATTTGAGTTTTATTTTTATTTAAACAAAGAAATGTATAAAAATAGAAACAACATTCAAATAAAAATGGAAAAAATTAAAATTTATTTTTTTTCTTTAAATTTATTCAAATTGAAGTTTCATTTTATTTCAAAACTGATAGTGTAAAAACAAAATATATTTTCTATTTGATTTTTTGATAATCATACCAATTTTCATTTTATTTTGTTTTGGCAGTTTGAAATAAAAATCTAACGACTTTTCTCATAGTGTGTAGGCAGCTTTACGAAGTAGATTTTGTTTTGTGTGGGAAATCTAGTCAAAATCAACTAGATTTGGCTCGAAATCTCATAAGTACTAGATTTCGTGTATGTGTAAATACGGTATAACATAGGTACTAACAACTGGGTCTTGATTTGGAGAGCAAAAAGAAAAGACGTGTTTGTGTGCAAGAAAAAGTGAAGAAAAAGGTTTAATTTCTAACCTCAAAATTAAAAATAATTAGAAAAAAAATAATTGTTTTATCTTAACGTGCTTTTTCTTTTACATATTAATAAAAATAAAATATTCTATTTTCGTTTGTCTCTGTGTGAGTTTTAATAGGAAAAACTAATTTTGTTTAATACAAGTTCCTGAGCCATGGTCTGGCCAGAAGGCAAAATTTTTAAAAAGACAACGCCTAATGGCGTGGTGGAGCGAACGCTACCTAGACCGCGTTTCCATGTAGCAGACAACTCCAGATCATCTTATGACATGTTCTTGACTCCCCACAGGGATATGGGTGTGTTGAACCCGGTCACAGTGGGTAAGTTGCTGTATGAGAAATATAATGATATTGAAATTTTCTTTATATCAAGGCGCAAACTTAAAATTACAAGCCTTAATATGAACACAATAAATGAGCTATCTAAAGACGAAAGTCTTAATGAACAGTTCTGTGTGTTCATACCCTCAGAATTCTGTGAGGTAAAGGGTGTTGTCCCCATACCTGACGAATATAATGAGGAGGAAATTTATAATGAAGTCACTTGTAAAAACTTAACAAGATATGGCCCTGTGCCAGATACTTGTAAAATATCTGAGGTGCGTAGATTCACTAGAATTGACGCTAAAAATAAAAATTTGAAATACAATTTAGAATCTGTGCTGCTTTGTTTTACTGGTGACACTTTGCCTTCACATGTAAGCATTGGAGGAATTAACTTTCCTGTCTCACCTTTCCGCGAAAGAGTGACCCAATGTGGTAAGTGTTGGCACTTCGGTCACCACGATAAGATATGTACCCGCCCACAGAAGCTGTGCAACATTTGTGCTGGTATCCATGATCTGAATGACTGTACACAACGTCCAAAATGCGTGAATTGTGGCGGAGGTCATGTTTCTTCGTCCAATGAATGCCCAGTCTTTAAAAAACTTAAGAAAGCGAAAATTGAAAAAGCAAATAAAACGAGGCCGCAGGCTAACTTATTTTCTCAAGAACCATCAACTAGTTTACAAAAATTCAATTATACTTTTAATACTAACGACTTTCCTCCACTTGGTGTTACGAGACCTAGAAAAACTTTCGAAAAACCTATCACTGTTTCCTCTAGACCAGCGAAACGAATAAGATCTGTAGACAGATTACCTGAAACTCCTGCGATTCCCTCTGTCCTTACAAACGAAGTACCCTCTGTTGTGCCAACACAATTGGATGCTCCGGTGGTAGCTATCTCTCCTGAGATGGACGATCTCGTCGGCAAACAAGTTAAACTGCTAGACTCTAACTCAGTCAAATACATTGAACCCTTCCTTAAGTCATTGTTGGAAGCTGTAAATAAAAACAACAACGTTAATATAACGCAAAAAAGAATTCTGGAGACAATTTTGTCTCCAATTTTTAACCACCTTGAATCAAATCATGAAGATATGTCAATTTAATTGCTTAAGTATAAGAAATAAGCTATCACAGCTAAAACAATTTCTTCTGGAAGACAAAATCTCAGTAGCCTGTCTCTCGGAAACGTTTTTGAGGCCAGCTGATACCATTAGAATCGGAGGTTACTCTATAATCAGATCAGATAGAATATCTAGTAGCAATATAGGTGGCAGTGTCGCAATTCTAATTGATGAAAACATAAGCTTTAAAAATCTTAACCTACGTTCCCCAACTAGATCTATTGAGGTATGTGGATGCGAGATAGATTGCACAATGGGCTCGTTGACAATTGTATCAATCTATATTCCCCCGAGAGGGAATTTTAGATCCTCTGATCTATGTTCCATATTTCAGTCAATAAACACTACAAAACTGATTATTTGTGGAGACTTTAATTCACACCATTCACTCTGGGGTGGTCACGAGGACGGCCCGCGTGGCTGTAAAGATCTTGAATTCATCGATTCCTTAGGCCTTGTGGTGCTAAATGATGGATCCCCTACATATTTTGGTAGAAGTATCTCGGCAATCGACTTGACGCTGGTCTCACCTAGCCTCAGTGTCTCTGCTACCTGGATCCCTAATAGGGAAACTCTTGGCAGTGACCACTGTATCATTGAGACCTTTTTCGAGACGGAACCGATCACACGAACAAACTCCCATTTCTATGTTCCCAAAACTATTGACAAATCTCTCCTAAATATGAAAATCTCTAACATCTTTAATTCAAAAGAATTTTTGGATGTTACGAATGACAAACAATTTGACAAATTCGGAGAACTATTTTATGAAGAGTTTAAACATAAACCAAAAAATCGCCGAAGGAATCCCAACCCCTGGTGGAATTCTAACTGTAGGAAATTCTCTGCAGAACAAAAACTTGCTTTACGCAAATATTACAGAAACCCTTCCAGGGAAAATTTCGAGCAACTTTCCTCAACTAGACGTAAATACAAATACACTATTAGATACGAAAAACGTATAGGATGGAAGAAATTCTGTGAAAACATCGACTCTAATATGACGCTTTCAGAGTTATGGAGAACCATAAAGTGTTTTAGAGGCTCTTTATCCGAAACCCTTCTAGGATTTAAAGAATGTATTTCAGATTTCTGCGATAACCTAGCGGGGCCAATCGGCCCTTGGACTTTCTATATGCCAGGCCCACCCCTAGAAGATCATCCAATGACATCCAAAATTACCTTCAATGAATTAGACAGAGCACTAACTCTATCAAAGGACACCGCATCTGGTTTAGATGGGGTACGCAATGGTCATCTAAAACTACTAAACTCGAGCAATAAATTCAAACTTCTTGACATGTATAATAACATTCTTTCATCAGGTATAATCCCATCGTCATGGTATAAATACTCAGTAATTCCCCTAAAGAAAAAGCTTTGCCCACCAAATCTTGCGTCATCTTACAGATCTATTGCAATGGCATCATGTCTTAGAAAATTATTTGAGCGCATTCTCAACTTCCGTTTGGAATGGTTCATTGAGTCTAGGAATCTGATTAGCAAAACTCAGTCAGGATTTCGGAAGGCTAAATCTACAACAGATAACGTGGTTGCTTTATGGTCCTTCATCTCTCTTGAAACGTCTAAAGGGGCTACGGTTATTTCAGCCTTTATTGACATTAAAGGAGCATTCGATAACGTCAACATCGAACTGCTATTTTCTAGGCTTTGTTCACTCAATATTCCTATACATTTTGCGAGGATAATTTACTGTCTTTTTCAGATAAAAAATCTTTATATACGTTACGATGATAACACCGATAACCGCCACTCCTTTACTGGTGTTCCACAGGGCTGCGTACTAAGCCCCATTTGTTTTAATCTATACATTGACAGTATTTTTGAAAATTTACCAGATGATATACACATCTTA